TGTGTGTGTGTGTGTGTGTGTGTGTGTGTGTGTGTGTGTGTGTGTGTGTGTGTGTGTGTGTGTGTGTGTGTGTGTGTGTGTGTGTGTGTGTGTGTGTACATATATATGAACTCAATAGATTTAAATTATATATTTAAGAAATACGAAATGTTCATGTTATAATATGTTGTAACGAACTGAAACGAAATCTCTATTATGTATATGATTTAAATCAATTGAGTTCATATATATACATACACACACACACACAGACATATAGCTATATATATATAGAGCGAGATTCCGTTCTTAAATATATCATTTAAATCAATTGAGTTCATATGTATGTACTACTACAAAGTTTGCTAGGCCAAAAAGACCGTTAATCGCGCGATAAAAAAATGAACGCCGTTAAAATGGGTTTGCGTTAACGCCGTTTAACTGACAGCCCTAACATATATATATACATACATACATACACACATATATGAACTATATAAGAAATATGAAATCTTCATGTTATAATAACACATTTACTCAATGAAAGACGGCCTTCTATAGTGAGCAGGAAAAACAATTGAATTGTGAAGAAAAGAGGGGGAATATTTTGCACACTTGTCTAAATGTATGTCTGCCCAAGAGCATGTATTTATTTACCAGGGGGGTTCCCAAAAGCTGGTTGAATTTATGAGGACTTGTCCTAATGATTGCCTAGGCCATTTGAGATGAATATTAAATGTGTTCAAACATGGGGATCTGGAGATCTTGTATACTACAACCTGAAAAGCACACATTCACATATCTCTAATATGCAAACATGCACACTTTCTATTTCACACACAATGTATCTCGCTCTCTCTCTCCCCCACACAGAGTCAGCCAGCCCCTGCAGCTGAAAGGGAGAGCTACAGTGACAAACAGCTCTCCTACTCCAGAGTTGGCAGGAAATCTATCACACTGGACAATAAAATTGCAATTGAGTTTCTTTAGATTTTTTTTCCCCTCAGCAGATGCACGTATCTCTCTAGCTCTGCACTGCTACTACACCTTTCCAGTTCATTCGCACGACCCCTTTTCTGTTTTTAGATCAGAGCAGAGATGCTGTAAACAGAACAGGACCTTACCTGCATTAATCTTGTGCAATTATAGCGCAAAAAAGCAATTACAGGCTTGACCCATAGGAAGGGGAATGATCAATTTGTGTGCACTTGCCTCAGCAGTGAGCTACTTTAGGAATGCAAGCAGACTCAAAGAAAACGTGTCTGCATGAAAAAGAGGGAAAGCAAAGCACACTGCAATCCTTTAACGTTGCTCGATCCACTCACAGATTACATTTTATTGACACCATTAACTGCGGGGGTGTGAGTGAGAAGAATTAACTTTATTTTAATGTTTATTTTAAAGAGGTATCTCTACAGGCATTACTATCATCATAAGAATTTGTATCTGCATTTCAGCATGCTTTTGAATTAAGTTCGGTAGCACAACTACTTTTATTTTTATTATTTTTATTTCCCCTTGAATTAATCACTTTCACTGGTATTATTTTCATTTGTATGTCATTATTGATAAAACAGCCGAAATGAATAAACATAAATGTAATCATACTGTTTGTTTCATTTTTTAGGACTGTTTTATATGAAATTAATATATTACAAAAAATGTTTTTGTTTTCTGTGTGTGTGCATCGTTCTCACCTTTAAAAGTTGTAATGTATAATTTGCAATAAAAAGTTTAATAAATAAAATTATTTTTTAAAATTCTATTTATGAGTGCTTAATATGCAGAGACAACTGTCAATAAACCATTTATAACAGAGGTGTCGAAACGTTTTACTATATGATGGGCTAAAAATCTAACTACATAAAGTGTATATTATTTTCTACATTTCTACATTATATTCTCTACATTTCATTGCAAAAATAAAGGAGGAAAAAAAAAAGAGAAACTAGAAATGAAGATACGACATGGCAGGCCAAATCAAAAAGGTTCAGATCACGGGCATATATTTTAACATGCGGGCCCTGCTTTGGCCATCTCTTATTTATAGTATATTTTGTATAATTTAAATTGATTACCCTGAAAATTTCCTTTAACCACTGCGGCTCTGCAGAGCTATCAAGACACACATTTCAAGATGTTTATTTGAGCATTCTGACCACCCTGACATACCGTAGCAACACTGGCCTAAGTCTGTCATGGCTGTTTGTCCAACCAACGGAAGAAGGGAAGTGTTTGGGAAACCTGTTTGAAAACAATATTTTTGTGATTCCATTTGGTGACACTAGTACAACAGAAATGGCACGCTTAAAGTGAATCTGAGGCTATAATAAGGCTACATATTCTGATGAATAAGCACTGTGAGCACTACAGATCTTCTTTTTCTTACACATCTGACTGCATAGCACAGCTGCGCCCCCAAGTGGCCAGTGACAAGAACACAAACAGAGTGTATAATTGGAGGAGTGCCAGAAGCTTGTGCCCAAAACCACAGTCTGACACCAAATGACTTCACTTCGCTTGGAACTGTGTCCATATTACAATGTCAATAGAGCATCTTAAAATAGACATTTCTGAAGCTAGAAAGCACAGAAAACTGAGAGCTCTCAAAAACATTATGGAGGCAATTCAATCTGTAAATAAAAGTATGAACAGAGGGTTTGGCATTGGAGGAAAAATAAAGATTCTAATCTGAGAAGTCAAGTTGATTATAGAGCGCAATTACAGTCAGGTTTCTGCAGTGAGAAGCCAGTGGATGAATGCTGAGAGAGTCTGAGCGCAGAAGAGAAAGAGGCAATGAGAAAAGGAACCAAATACAAAAGTATGGTCAGTGCTGGGGGAAAAAAAAGAGAGACAGATTGATGGCAAGAGACACCAGAGAGAGAAAAGCAAAAGAATAATAGGCGTAAATCAGACTTTTGAAATGAGGAGGCAAAGTCCTATCTTTTGTTATCAATTCAATATGATGTCTGCATGGTTTCTGGATTAAATGTATATGTAACACTACACTACTAACAAACATCCAATACTATAATATATATGCTTATATTCAAATATTATATTATATAGCATATTCAAAAGTTTGGGGTCAATAAGTTATTTTTTATGAAATAAAGCAATACTATTATCCCGCAAGGAAGCATGCAACTGATCAAAATTGATAGTTGAGATGTTTAAATTGTTAAATTGTAAAACAAATGTTTTTTTTTCTTTAACTTCCTATTCATCAATTTTGGGGAAAAAATGTATAAGGTTTCCACAAAAATATTAAGGACTGTCATGATTCTTTGATTGAATTCGAGTACTCGATTTAAAAAACAATTCTCGATAGCAATTTACCCGTGTCGAGTAACCGGCAAAATACCGGAAGTGGCGCAGTCCACCGACGGGAATCCATTAACCGCAATATTAGACCGTTTTCTAAGGCAGCACGATGTAGTAAAACCATTTAAAAACCATACTATAGCATAGTGCTATTATGAATTCACAAAGGCTGCGATTCAATTAAATAAATATATGCCCTGCAGTTTTAATATGCGCTTTAATTATTTATATGCGCGCAGGTTATGTGCGTCTCAGAGCGGCTCCGTTCACAGAACATGCTGCTCCAAATGAACTATCATGTATGCGTGGAGTATGTCTCAAACTCCATCTCTGAATATGCTGTGAGTTTGGGTTGCTTTTAAGTTAACGTTCATTGGGGAACGCTATGTGTGCTATTTCATCAGATTTGCAAGGTAAATCATTTATAACCCTACACCAACACAGGAGAATACATCAATATGTTTCTAGATATGCGAACGTTCATCACGATTTCAAAATAAAAGTTAAAAACACAAAATAAAACCCTAGCTCTGAGTTTGCATGTTTTGATGTCCACATGTTCTTGTTCAAGAAATTACAGTGGCTATAGCACTTCTATCGTAAAGTAGTGATCAAATATTAAAGATTAAGTGGACATTTTAATTAAATGTCATTTGGCCAATATTAAACAAGGATTTGATCTGCTGTAAAGTGTAACAACACCAGGCTGTTGGCGCCTCTGCAGGCATTCATTATAATACATAAGCTGATTGTTTATATTATGTATATTATATTATATATTAACAGTGTTGTTCTATAAAAACATATAATTACTTGATACTTTATTTGACATTGTTGACAATTGTCATTATACATTGTTATTATGTATTTTAAGTTATTTTAAAGGCTATTGTTTGCTTCTGTCTATTAACACAAAAAATATCCGATTCCTACCAATTACTCGATTGCCAAAATAATCGTTAGTGACAGCCCTAATGTTACTTTAACACCAAATCAGCATATTAGTTTGATTTCTGAAGGATCATGTGACACTGAAGACTGGAGTAATGACACTGAAAATTCACCTTTTTCATCACAGGAATAAATAAAACTTTAAACTATATTCAAATAGAAAACAGTTATTTTAAATTATAACAACACTTCACAACATCACTGTTTTTACTGTATTTTTTAACCAAATAAGTGCAGCCTGGGTGAGCATAAGAGACTTCCTTCAAAAACATTACAAAAATCATTAAACTGTAGTGCATATGAAAAATGAAGAAATATGTTTATTAATGCATACTATTAGCAATAGTTTGGTAATAATAATAATAATGATGTTCATTGTTATGGTACTAGTCATGAAGAACAAAAGCCACACTTTAGGAACTCAATGGTATTGGTAACACAATGAGCACAAGGGAGGCAAAAAGAACCCTTTATTTGGTGGTGTAGAAACTGGACAGTGTTACTTCAAAAAGAAGAGGTTTATACACTATTTAATCACTGATTTCATAATGTTTGTTTTGTCAGAAGTGCAAAATGGGTACTCTGATTAAATTCAATTAGGGAAATATTTTTAAAGACATAAAACCTTTCCTGTGTATGAAAGATTACCAAGCTTTGTAAATTTGTGTGAATACTCATGACTGCAATTAATGTGTACCGCATACATTCATCCGTGTGTTGTTTTGTGTGTGCATTTGGGTCCTGACCTTGGAGTGTGTGATGGAGAGCGTGTCCACCCACACGCGCCAGCCGCCCCACTCGTACTTAATGGCGTGATAAAGGAGAATGCGAAAGATGGCGTACACCATCTCTGTGATCTTCTGCTCCTCACTGTTCTTGGGGTTAATAAAGCACAGAGACAGCATCCACTCCTGCCACACCGAGCACTGCAACAGACTCCTACACAAAAGAATGAGTGCGTAGAAAAAAAACATTTACTCATTTCAGAAAAAAAAAGCTCATGATGATGATGAGTGTTGGACAGTGTGTGTGTGTGTGTGTGTGTGTGTGTGCGCGCGTTTCAACAGTCCCCACCTGCGGTTCTCTCGGCTGTTGTTGAAGAGTTTGATCATGTCTGAGAGAAAGATACGTCGTACTTCCATGCTTTCTGCTCCTGGAGGAGCATTCTTTAAAAGAGCAGCTATCACTTTTAGGATCTCTGATGGGGGAAAAAAATATGCCTTTAATGCACATGAATGCACCATTTCACACTGTATCTGAATGCCTAGTTTTTCAAAAAAGCTTATAATCCTTTAAAAGGGGAGTCATCACATAAGTTTTTGTTTTTAAACACTATAATATTGATTTTCTTTTTTTTTACTGGTTATCTAATACACCACAAATGGTGTAAATTAAAATGTATATGGAAAACAAAGTAAACAGCATGTCCACATTATACTGCAATACAGCTGCACAAACAGTTATAACATTTAAATGGGGAAAAAATTACATTGCCATTTAAAGTTGTGGGGTCAGTAAGACTTTTTTTTTTTAATTATTCAGTAAGGATGCATTAAATTGATCAACGGTGACAATAAAGACATTTATAATGTTACAAAATCTGTTCTTTTGAACTCTGTTCTATTAATAGAATCCTGAAAAAAAAATTATCCACAAACATATTAAGCATTTCAAATGTTTTTTTGAGCACCAAATCAGCATATTGGAATTATTTCTAAAAGTTAATGTGACACGGAAGACTGGAGTAATAATGATGTTAAAAATTCAGCATTGCCATCACATGAATACATTACATTTCAACTATATTCAAATAGAAAAAAGTTCTTTTAAATAATATTAATAATTCACAACATTACTGTTTTTACCGTATTTTTGATCAAATAAATGCAGCCTGGGTGAGCATAAAATACTTCTTTCAAGAACATTAAAAACATCTTTCTGTTTTGAAACTTTTGAACGGTAGTGGAAATTATAGTTATACGTTTTAATTACTTCTTTTTTTTTTAAAAGAGGGATAAAGAAATTTGCACCCCTTTAATAAAACAGACATATTTTTGCCCCAACACTTTTGCACATAGTGAGAATAACTCACAGATATTGTGGAGGGAGTAAAAGTATGTCTACATCATAAGGTCAGTATAGTCTAAACTCTGCAGCTAAAGTCGTGGCTTCCTGGAACTGAGCGTTAGCTTAAACTGGAAAGATTGGTTGTTTAGATGAATTATCTAGACAATGTCAGCATGCATTAAGTTGAGAAGAGCAGCTCAAGTTTCAGCCGTCACAGGGAGTTTAGAGCACGACAGCATCTGTAACCAATGCTCTCACTCGTTCCAGCAGAATTGTGTTGTTTCTACGCCTTACTCACTCAAATTAGAGTCACTGAACCTTACCAGTAGAAAATTACCTTTGCATGTATCTCTGCACTTTTCTGTTTTTTTCGCTCTCCAATCACCATTTGGTCCTGGTTTGTCCCGGAGTTTAATTTAAAAGAAACTTTTGCTTCCTCAGTTTGTTTGATTGGGTCTGACATTGCTAAAGACTGCAATCAGAGCCATTTAGAGGCTTCAACACAGATCAAATCAAGGAGAGACAGAAGAAAGCTGAAACTCTGCTGTGCTCGCTCTCTGATACTCTATGAGATGGCCTTGAATCAGACTCTGTTGGTTTACCATCTCCATCTGAACGTTTTAGAACCGACCCAGGATCTGTGATTGACTGTCATTCTTCTGACTGGCAAGTGGTTTGTGTACATGGTCACATCTCCATGGAAATACAGCTCTAATCAGCTGCCTCCAGTACCTCAGAATTAAGCTTCATTAGGGAAAGGCCTGATATGGATCAATATACAATATTAGTTTCCCTTTTTACATTAAAACCAGAGCATCTGATTGCTGCCTAATCCTGTACTTTAAAATTGAGCATAAACTGAGGCTGGAAATAAGGCATCTCATTATAAGAGAATTCAGCCATCTAATATTGAGAAACTAGCTGGTTGCGAATGAAACGGATACAGTGAAAACTCTATACTATAGCTACAGGGGGAAGTTAATTATGTTTTAATGTGTTTATCATCTGAGTAATGGTGACCATCAAATGAGCTCCATTTGTCTGAGGTAACTGTACACTTCACCACTAGACACAAGAAAAAAACAGTGACTGTTTGATTTGCACCGCAGCAGGCACAAAAATATGAAATGAGACTCACTTAATACTATTATTGTAAATCACGAGTAAAAATAAGCAGATTTAATTTTACAATAGGAGGCAGGTTTTGCTTGTGATCTTGCTGTCTTTCATGTATGGATATTTTCCACACACACGAGAGGTGGTGTAGAATGTGTTAGCATTGTTGACCCCTACTGTATCTCTGAATATGGTTAAGGTGATAACTGTAAATATTGTTTTCTGTGTTGCATGTAAGTAAACTAAATAACCTTGTATTTATGTCTTCATACCATTTTTAATTTGAGATTTCACAGAGAAATGCAGGTAACACTGCAGTACAACCTGAACATAGTGTAAATAAATATGACCGTTAATACAAAAAAGTAGGGAAAAAAGAATTTATAATTGCCCATTAAGAAAATAAACTTCCTTACATAAATAAAAAATGTCTATTTATTTTATTAAATACAAAAAAAATTAAGTAAAAATGTGTCTATTTAATCTATAAACAGCTATTTAATACAGAGTGCATATGCATATGCAGAGTGCATAATCACTGGTGCTAAAGGAGAAGGGATTGTGTTTCATATTAACTTACGTGGGTTTTGAATCTTCACAGTGGAGTCAGGGTCTGGGTGCTGTTTGTGAATGACCTGAGTACAGATCTGCTCCGTAAGAATCTGGTGAGAATGTTCTGGTTAGTCACTGATAAATAGTACAGCACAAAAACATTTCACAATGATCAGGTGACAGCATGAAGAAAGAAAATCCATAAGAAAGTAAATAAATCTGCTAAAATGATGAACAAGTCAGAAAATAGAGCTGTGTTATATATTAAATATAGGTCAACAACATTCGCCAGGTTAGCTTTTTCAGTTAAAGTACGGTAGTTGAATACTGGAACTCTCTGCCGTAAGCCATTTAAGAACGTGGCACCTTAAAAAAATGTGTTTTAAAAAATGGATCAAGGAAAACAGTCATGTGAGCATTAGGCAGTTATTGTAATTTGCCAATTTTAAAGAGTTAAGGAGAGGGAGGTTGTTAAATATGTTGATTCAAATGTAAAAGTGCATGCATTTGTTTATATCATATCCATATCAATTATTTAGTTCTTTTAACTTTTTGTAGAACTTTGCGTTTATGTAATATGTACCGGTAATGTAATTTGTAATACTGAATGCACACTGCCTTACTAACAACAACTGTAACTGTCGCCTAGGGACTACAGTTGAAATTTAGCAACAAACATTTTACAACAAACATATTGTGAATCGACCCAGTACAAATAAACAAAAGCAAATAATAAAATCACACTTCAAGAATTAAATACCCAAATTTAAATCTTGGGTTGGGGGGGCATCACACCAAAAAAAAGGGGGGAATTTAATTGAGGGTGGGCAGATATGACTGTGTCAGTCATGCTCTTACCTAAAAATGTGGCTGACGTTTGCATAAAACTATGGTCAAAAACAAACTGCTACAAGCAGCCATTTAAAAAAAAGGTATCAATTTAGGAGACTGACCTCAAAGAGCACGTTGTACGTTGTGACTGTGATCTGGTTCGAGTGGAGCAACAATCGTTCAGTGAGCAGAGAGAACAGGCCGTGAGCCAGCATGACCTCTGACTTTGTCCTGAAACACATGGCATCCAAAACGTCAGCACCAAGCCCACACTATGATCTACTCCCCAACAGGGCATAACTGCAGCCCAGAGCTTCTGAAAAATATCTTTATAGTCACGGAATGAAGCTGCATATATTTTAAAAGCACTTGGCGGTCAGATTCCTTCTGGGGGAAACTCACATAAAGCAAATGGGATTACAAATGAAACTGAGCTTTATCTATCAAACACCACAGAAACATTTGGAAAAATACTCACACAATTACAGACTTTGACTACATTAACGCATAAATGTTTCCATGCTGCATGAATTAATAGTGGAGGAGTGAGAGTAATTTGTTATCAAAATAACCTAGCTGAATTCACTCTGGGAAAAGACCTAGTTGCTTATTTTAAATCATTCATTTTAAGAAAAAGAAAAAAATCAGCCTTCAACTCACTTGATGGTATGCTGGGAGCTTATTTCTGCTAAATATTTATAGCTAAACCATCCACTACAGACTCATTTTGTAAAATAAACAGTCGGAGTGAATCATGTATATGTATCACATATTAAAAACAGGGTTAACGTGTTATTGTTACTAATATGATCAACAGTATTATTACAACCAAATAATAAAAAGTAACTCACTTTGGAGACAAATATTTGAGAAAGTAGCCCAAGACTTTGAGTCCCTGCACACGAATCCCTTCACTTTTGGATGCAAGCAGCTTAAAGATGACCCTGTGTTATTCACGGAAGAGAAAAAGTGTTAAAAAAAAAAAAAAAAATGTATGCATAATAAACGTAAGAGAGAAAGTTCAAAACAAACATATTATTTTATCAATATTTAAAATGTATGTACCATCAGAGTCGAGCTTAAATATATGAAGAATTTTTGTTTTTAACTGTTTTCAATGATTCTTTCCGACAAAAGGAAATTGCGACGCAGTCTGGTGTGTACACAGATCTCACAAGAGCTGACACGTACATTCATATGTAACCGAGACTATTACACTGTCTACATATTAAAATGAATCTGCCTATATCCTTCTGGAGTAGGATCTGATGGAAGTGTGATTTGAATGAGGTTGTCAGATCTAAAATGAAAGTGAGGCCCTCTGTTTTATCGTGACGAGCTGTCCAGATGCCCCCCCGCTAGCGTGCACATTTAACCCCATGGCTGTCAGTGGAACTAGCATATCTATAAAGGCTTTGGAAATGTAAATGCCTCCATTTTAGTAGCCCGTATGAGCGCTCAGTACAGCAGCATAGGTATCATATGAACCTATGAAAGTGTTTTTATAGGTTTTGTTGAGCAGGACTCAGATGTCTCTGCTAAGAATGAAGAATTGTGGCCTCCCATTATTCCACAGAGATTGATTCAAATTCATCTGTCAGTTATTTTTTTCCCAGTTTAATTTATAGTTTTTAATAAATAAATAAAAATGGGTTAAAGAATATAATGTCTGGTTGCAAAGGGCAAACACAGTTCTCACCGTATTCCATTCCGCTGATCGAAGGCTTGAACCATTGAGCCAGGATGCTCAGACATCAGTGCCACCAGTAGCTGGAGAACATCCATCAGATTATCATCCTGGAAAAATATTTACAATAAATAAGCATAACATGTCAGAAAAAGGAGTCATTCAAGGCACACTTAAAAAATTATCTATGTTTTAAAATGCAGATGATTATAGAGTTAAGTAGGGGATTGTACATTGTAAGTTACTGTCTAGTTAATATACTGCACATTGTGTCTGCATTAACTTGTTGCAGGATTAACATTAGATATCATTACATATACATTTGACAGGAAATTATTAGGGAGTAAAAATGGCACTTTCTGCAAAAAGCAAACATATTATATATAATAGAAAAGAAAATTCATGAGTATATTGTGGGAAGTGGCATAATGGTAAACTGCTATTTTTTTTTTTAATGGCAGATTAGTTATGCACAAGAGAGAGACAGCTGTGGGGACCAAGCGCCATCTGGTGGCAGTTACACCACAGCATGTCCAGTGTAACAAAAAATGACAGCATTAATAATCTGCATTGATTTTGTCACATAACTGAAAGTGGTCACACAGCGATACTGGTTTAAAAGACTGTGATGTATTGAGAACTGTTTGAAATGAGAGTAGATGCATTAGGGTACCTCGTGCATTGTGAGCAGGTAGTTCAGAATGCTCTGCAGTTCGTCTTCCTTTACGCCATGATCCTACATTGACAGGACACACAAGTATTATCTGTACTGCACTCCTCATGATGGAGTTGATTAATTCAGACTGTATTTATATTATGTTACAGCCACTCTACTGCACCTTCATGATAAGCTGTTTGACAAACAGCAACAGGAACGCTCGGAGAGAGTGAATCTCCTTTTGATTGGGTCTCGGCCCATCTGAACACAAACAGATACAGGATATCAACCAAAAAGAGGGGTCATGAAATATCAAATCAAATGTAATATTCCACAGCCCTATGCAATTGGTGATAATACTAATGCTTTTCATTGTGTTGTTTACATCAGTTTAGAACCACAATTTTAGATTATTTTCCTTTATAACTTGGTGTAAACAAAAAAAAGATAATATTTCATTCATTTATTGTAACCTTGATTCTGTTTAATGACATTTGAATGAGACAAGCGAGGAAGCCGTCTACTGTGGAAATTACACAGAAAACACACTGAAAGACGAATTGCTCTGTTATTGTGGGATGGGATGTTTTCCCACAGCATCTTTAGTGCAAACCTGCAGTGCCCTTTTTATTTGCATTATCAAGACAGGATATTCACAATAACAGTGTGTTTTAAAACCAATATAATTAAATATGATATTCAGATGAGACTCTATTCCACCAATTGAAAGTTGAAAGACGAACGCATATTGATACTTTATATAGCAGGGCTCTAAAGCTTGAGACCACAAAAAAATCCCATTTATTTAAACATGAAAAAAATAACTTTTCTTTCAAACTATTATGCTGATAACATAATTTGTAACAAAAATAAATTGTACTAAATGTGAAACAAATATTATTGTTTTCAAACTTTTGGACACCATTATAGCTACACATGGACCTTTTTTTGACCCTTATTCACTTGTCTCAGCATGTGTTGAGAAGTTGGTTTAGTTCTGCACTCTTACCGAGGCCCTTGGGCGTGATTCCGCTGCGGTCCAGTGGGCTTACAACCCAGTAGAAATACTTGAGTGTGTGCATGACCTGCAGTACAGTTCCAACTCTGCGGATGGCATTGTAGATATTGACGGTGCTAATGAATTCTGTGGCCAGGTAGGTGTAGAGAACCAGTTGTACCTGTTGGGGGCAGCAAATCAATTTCAAGCAACAATCAAAAGTCACATTTAAAGGGATACTCCACCGTTTTTTCATATTAAACTATGTTATTCTCTTATCTAAGACGAGTTGATACATACCTCTCTCGTCTCAGTGCGTGCACTGAATCGCTCTGTCGGGCGGAGAACTTTGAGAGCAGTTAGCTTAGCCCCATTCATTGAATATGGGCCAAACAGAGATGAAGTTAGAAGCGACCAAACACATCCACGTTTTCTCTATTTAAATATAGTTACACGAGTAGTTACACGACCAAGTATGGTGACACTAAATAAAATGTGGCGCTTTTTATAAGCGGGTAAAATGGATAACTATAATGTATGGCGGAATAGCACTTATTGGGAGCACTTCGACTCGGCGCTGTAATATCTTCACTCGTGAAAAGTCCTCTCCCTCTCCCTCTCCCTGTCATTTCCCGTCAATAGAACCAACGTGACCTGCACGCCTGCAGTAGTAGTAGTTTTTTGTGCAGAGTTGACGAAGTATCAGGGAGAGGGAGAGGGGGAGAGGACTTTTCACGAGTGAAGATATTACAGCGCCGAGTCGAAGTGCTCCCAATAAGTGCTATTCCGCCGTACATTATAGTTATCCATTTTACCCGCTTATAAAAAGCGCCACATTTTATTTAGTGTCACCATACTTGGTCGTGTAACTACTCGTGTAACTATATTTAAATAGAGAAAATGTGGATGTGTTTGGTCGCTTCTAACTTCATCTCTGTTTGGCCCATATTCAATGAATGGGGCTAAGCTAACTGCTCTCAAAGTTCTCCGCCCGACAGAGCGATTCAGTGCACGCACTGAGACGAGAGAGGTATGTATCAACTCGTCTTAGATAAGAGAATAACATAGTTTAATATGAAAAAACGGTGGAGTATCCCTTTAAGAAAACAAAGAATTGGTAAACTATTAAGCTAGCATGATGCAACAGCATCAGTTTATGTAAATGTCTGTGTAAGATACCTTAGCTGGGGCATGAATCCAGATGGCAGGGTTGAAGAGGATGTGGTCACACAGCTGTTTCAAGAGCAAAACCCCATTAGGAAGGTTGCTAAGGTAACGGGCGAAGGCGAGGACGATATCCAGCACAGATCGTGTCACATGTACTTTGGAAGACTGAGAAGAAAATACAAACATGAAATCAAACATCAATAAAAGTAAGTTAATAAACTTGGTCACAAAAAAATATAGATAAATTGCGTTTTATTTATCAGAAACGTGCTGTGACTTGCACAAAACATTAGTTCTATCATTACTTACTTGACATTGCAGCCTATTCATCATCAAACAAAAAATGCAGTCATGCAAACATAAAAAAGTTACATGACTCAATTTGAATTGTCAGCTGGTCAACCTGAAAGCCTCCCCATCATTCCAAGATCATTTTAGACTTCCACTGGATTTAGAACGTATTTTAAATTTGGGTTTCTAATTTTCCAAAAGCAGACTGAACATTCCAAAAGCATTCGCACATTTCAAGGCCTTTAGATACCGACTAAATTCTAGTCTTACATGTATTCTTTTTTACATTTATTTAAGACTACTGTGGTCATGAGGCCAGATGAGACCTTCAGTGTCAAGGAACTTTACTCTATGCTGAGATATGAGTAACAGACAAGAAAAAAAGTGAGTGTATACAGAGTAAAGGAGAGAAAGACTTTCAAAACAAAAATAAACATGGTGTATATATATATAAAGGCAAAGGACAAGTTGAGCACTTAAAGTGTTTCTCAATGTTTTAAAACATATGATCGTGAGCCATTCAGTTAGGTACGGTAATAATAAGTATTCTTAAGCATTCCTCTTTTTTCCACCCAGCAACTTCTGCAGGAACAAGGACTCCCTCTCATCCATTTTAAGAATATAAGCTTACTTCAAACATCAAAGAAGACCTTTTCTTCTCTTGTCTTGTTTTAACATTAGTAAGATTTAGACTTTCCACAACCGTATGTTCGGCACTCACCTTCTCCAGTGAGTAACCGATGACGAGAAAGCCCTTGCAGGCCAGCACCTGCTCTTGCATAGCTACAGAGCCCTTCAACAGCTCCATCACAAATGACAGTAGTGTGCAACTGAAAAAAAAAAAAAACATATGACAAGTAAGATTCAGTAGAGAAAGACAACCAAACTAACAAAAAAAAGTCAGATAACATTTAGTCCTGATTTAGTTCCAAGAATTAAAGGACTGAAATTCTGTTACCATTTACTCATTTACAAACCCTTATGACTTTCTTTCTTCTGTGGAATACAAAACAGAAATTTTGAAGAATGTCCAAGTTGATCTTTTCCATTCAATTAAAGAAAGACAGTGACCAGGGGCTGTCAAGATCAACAACAAAAAAGTCTTCCGAAGCAACATGATAGCTTTGTGTGATAAACAGACTGAAATCTTAAGTTTGAACGCACTCAAACCTGCCGTTTCATTATTGACGTCAAGATGACAAACACCTTTGGTTTTCGTGCATCTTGTGAATCTTGATGCATCAAGTTTGAATCTATGCAAGATTTGAGTGATATTTGAGATATGGCAGAGAAGATTTCCAGCTAATTGTTTAAATTAATGGAGCCTCTTTTGGTAAGGAAAAGAAAAACTTGGGCATTCTACTAAATTGGGGCTTTTGAAAGATATGGTCAGTAAATGATAAACAGATTTTCACAATCTACTTGAATAAGATTTACAACATTCATTATGATAAACAGTTGTTTCAAAGTGATAAAGCAAAGATATCTTGCTATTGTCATTACTACAATCAAACAAACCGGTCATTTTGAGAATGTGGAGCAGAAACACTATTCAAGACTGTTCTTGGCCGATGCAGGCAACACTCATTTGTTAGTACTAAAGCCAATCATGGTTAAATGTTTAACTTTGTATTGGGTGCTATTCAATGGTGTGTCCACACACTGAGCACTGGCCCCTTGAGCGCCAAACCCTAGAGCCTAAAACAGACTAATGGTTAGAGTACCATGAGGAAAAAAAATCTCCTTTAAAAAAAAAAAAAACCTGCCATTGTGTGTCTACTGGATTTAACAACTCTAGGAGAGAAACCATTAACTTAATTTTCAGTTTTTCTTGGCCAGGATAAAACTGAGAAGAGCTCAATCTTGTTTTCCCACTGAGAATCCCTTTAGTAGTTTTCATTCGGCCCCCAGGCAGACTTGATGTGTTCTCACCAGACCGAGGTGTCCAGCTCGTCACCGCTGTGCTGGAGGAAATCCAGCTGTGCAAACAGGGGGAAAAGGACCTGAACTCCTCCTATAGAATGAATGGCACTCTGGACCGAGTGTGTCACCACAGCTTTAACATCCTGAAACACAGAAAGGCTTGATTTTAGATATGTTTTAATCAAGTTGTCATTTTAAATTGTATTATGTCATTATGTTGTGCAACACAGAGACTCTCTGATCAAAACAATTCATAAATGTAATCTCCCTATTGTTCTGCAAAAACTACTCCTGATATTTAAAGGTTGTTTCCTAAATCTGTGCTCTGTATGCATGATGAAGTGGCGGGGGGATAATTAAATACAGAAAGACAGCTGTGAGGTCCTTCTTAATGTCCCTTTAATCAGACTAGTGCTCTCCCAGATGACACATGATGGCACATCCATAAAATCCTTGTCAAAAAGAGAAGTACTTCATCTGTTCAGCATGTTGAGGTGCCATCAACTTATGAAGCCTTTATGAACTAAAAAAATCTGAGAATCATGCTAAATTATATATTATATATTTATAATTAAAATTATATATATAATATTGTTCCAATTGTTAATTTAAAAGAATTTATCCTATTATTAGATTATCAAGTCCAAGGATTTTTTTAGTTTTGATTTTCTTCGTGGAGTTGATGCGTTTTATAGACTCGACATCGTTTCTTATTCAAATGTGGTAAGTCACCCCCCCCCCTCCCCCCTCCCCCCCCCAAAAAATTAATTATGAATTTATTATTAATTAAATTAACTTATTGTTTAGAATATTTATAAAATAGGTTTTCATTTTTAGGTTTTAATTTGCAACAAGTTCATAAACAAACGCTTGCTTTTAAACAACTGTGCACTGTGAATTGTTTATAATTTTTACCCCATTCTAATATTTCCCAGTCTATGACAAGTCATTCTTGCAATTTAAACAAAACCTAATTTATGTTATTCTTTTAGATAACTAAATTAGGAGATTTTATTTATAAATAAATAAACGTTAAAAAGACAGTAGCCTCCCTTGATAGCAATGAAGACCAGATTAGATGAAGTGCTTTAGAGCTCATGGAGTGCTGGATGCAGCACAGGTGTGGGTCGTATTTTGCTGAGCGAGATGATAAAATGCTCATATTGTTAATTACGTTAACGAATGATGATGAGCTAGTTTCATTCGCCCACAGACAGCAGTCCACCTGGCAGGGCAGGTCTTTTCAGGCAGCTGTGCGGGGCTGGTAAACCAGGTGTGACGAAGAGAGAAAGAGAAAGAGCATACCTGCAGCATGAGGGCGTGTGGTGAGTGCACAAAGATGGAGGCATTGTCCTTGGGGGAGGACTCCAGACACAGCTGAGCGTCAGTGGCTCGGGGATTATAGGTGAAGGCGATACTGGCAGACAGCTTTCCATCATACAGCAGCATCTTGTGATGTTCTGCAAACAGCAGGTCACTCTCTGCCTTGTGCTTAAAAGTGCCCTGGATCAATCAGAGAGAGAGATGCTTATAGCAAAGCTACGTATGCTGCACATTCTCAAGTGTGTGTGTGTGAAAAGCATGAAATTAAATCTACTTCATCAGAGCACTTGATAAAAGCATAAGTGTTTAAGTGCAACAGACAGACTGCGAGATGATGTGAATGATAAAGCTTCCCAATGTGTTCCAGTCAATTATCATATCATTGAACAGCAAATTGAAAAATCTTGGATCAAATTACATACTAGTGAAATATCTCAATATCTCTCAATATCAACTCTTGAGACCACTGCGAACAATTAATATGCTTAGCACGCTACTTTACTTAAAAGAATAGCTTAAGAAAGAAAAGCTTAATAATAAGCTATTTCTATTTAATTAAGACACTCTTAAAATACACTAAAAATAAATTAATTTCAATCTGCTGAATATTATGACTTTATCTTATTTTAAATAATTGCTTATATATACATATTAGCCAATTAATTTAAAACAATGGTATTCAAATACAAAAAAAATCAAAATTATGAAATTAAAATGAGTAAAACAGCAGCTGTATTCAACCTTTAAAACCTAACGTACAGATATATCCGTACATATATGTGATTTGACTACATTATTACATCATCAACAAAGGATTTTGACAAAGACCTTAAAAAATAAATCTGAAATAGACAGCATTTGGGCAGTGAAAAAGATCTACCTTGTATCCAGGCCCCAACTGATAGATGGCTAAAATCTGAGCAGCACTAAGAGCTTCACCGAACAGATACACCGCCCCCATCTGACCGCAGAACACACGGTTAGCATCTGCCGTCTCTGATGAGCCCAGAAAACACTTGTCGAACGTCTGTGAGAGGGAACAAAATTTGCTTAGTTCAGTTTTTATTTTTTTAAGTATAGTATAAACTGTTCAAAAGTTTTTATGGTGGTTTTTTTAAGTATCTTATGCTCACCAAGGCTGCATTTATTTGATAAAAAAATGCAGTAAAAATACTAATAATGTAAAATATTATTACAATTTAAAATAACCGCTTTCTATTTTAGTATATATTTTAAAATGTATTTTTTTCTATGATTGCACCATCACTTCAGTCTTTAGTGTCACATGATCCTTTAGAAAGATTCTTAATATTCGTGGAATTGTTTTTTTCTCTCTCTCAGGATTCTTTGATGAATAGAAAGTTTAAAAGAACAGGATTTATTTGAAATAGAACTCTTCTCAGTTTATTTCTAATTATGAATTTCTATTAAACCCAAAAATTTAAACAGTAGTGTAAAAACAAATTCATGATTGAAGTCAGTATAAATATTTTTTTTTATATAAATGATAATGTGTCCATGTGTGTTAGTATGTCCACATGCATAAGAGAGAAATAAATAAACCATATCAGCATCATTTTGTTAGCCCATGTGAATCAACATAAGAAACAAACAACTTGCTGTAACTAAATGCTGCTGTTTAAATGTTATAAATAGAAAGTGACTACCGTATATCACTCTAACATCACCTTGAGCAGTGCTGTTTCAGTGTAATAATGTTGATCTTTGATATACAATTTCAAAAGGAAAGCCTATGTACAAAGCACACTCAATGGGCAAACTCCGAATTACTATGCACAGAATGTTCATGAAAATAGAAAACTTTTCAGATTCTGGAACTCACTGTAGAAAAAAAAGGAAATATAACATGGCTGAATAATTAGGGGCCAAGCACCGAAGGTGCAGAGGCACCTATTGTATCTGTTAGTTTTCTTATTATTATTCTTCTTCTTCTTCCGCAAATGGAAGTCTATGGCAGCCCTATGAACCGTATATAGGAAAATGATGAAATTTGGCACACTTATAGTGATGATAATGAAAAGTAATTGTAGCAAGTTTTGAGTCTCTAGGACCAACTCTATAGCGCCACCACCAGTTCAAAAATTCAACATTGAAATGGTTATAACTTTTGTAGCCTTTGATCTAGAGACATGAAACTTAGTACACCTGATTCCACTCATCATGTTGATTACAACCAATACCTTACATTAAGACCCCTGCCCATTACAGTAGTGGCCATTTTGAAAAGTACAGTAATCAGTTTTTTCCCTACTCCTCCTTCAAATTTTGTCCAATTTTGTCCAAACATGTGCTCAAATGATCTTCGGACTGAGCCGCATAGAAATGACTGAACAGAATTTTTTGCTATACTGAAAAAAAAAAAGTTATGATGTCGCAAACTTAACAAGGTCGACCCAAAATTGGTTCAGAAGCTATAGCTCGGCCAAAGTTTGATCAATCGAAACGAAAATTGGTACGCTTCATCGGAAGCATGGTCTGAGGGTGCATGCCAAAGTTGGGAACAGCGCCACCTATGGGTCATGAGATATCAAAAATAGCTATTTTGGCCAATAACTTTTGAACAGTTTGTCAGAAAATCATAAATGTGGTATCTATGGATTCCTTGTGTCATGTCGATTCTGGGGATATCAATTTTGCCAGGATTGGATGTACCACGTGTCCGCCATTTTGAATTTTGTCATAATTTGCCATATCTTTTAAAATATTTGACATATCTTCACAAAATTTAGTATGGATCATCATTTGCATAGCCTTAAGGTACCTGAGAAGTTTGAACACAGCGCCACCTAGTGTTCCAAAGGTATAAGGTTTTTTGAAAAAAAGCTTATAACTTTTGCAAATATAGTTCAAATTTTAATTTCTTTATGTCATTATATTCCTTGGCTTATACCGATTATAACGATATCTCGTTTGTCATTTTCCAACAATGTGACTGCCCGCGATATTGGGGCAAATGAAAAACAGTTTTTTCGCTACTCCTCCTTCAAATTTTGCTCAATTTTGTCCAGAATTTTATCAGATGGTCTTTGGACCAAGCCGCACAGAAATGACTGAACAGATTTTTGATTTTTGCTACCGTTCCCGAGATATTCGTCTCTAAAGTTGACCTAGCCTGTGTTTGTTGCCTTATGCTAGTTAGCTTAGCATAATAATTGGTTAGCATGCTAACCAAATGTCATTCTTTCTAATGCGTCTCTTCAGCTATCAGGATAACCATAAGCTACATTAGCATTATGCTAGCTTAGCATGCTAATCTGGTTAACCTGCTTTTGTGTGCTCATTCTTACACTGAAGGATCTCCTCTGCAGCTTGTGATTGTATGTCCTCTGAGTGGCGCAGTCTGCTAAACAATGTGTTACTAATCCTGAGCCGTTCCGGTTGTGGTTTCAAGCCCCATGTTATACAATTTCAAATCATTGTGTAATGTTATGTAATTTGGAGCCAATTGCTGCAGTTTTACCTTTAACAACTCAAGTCTCCGTAAAATTTGAACAAACCACTGTTTATGACTACCATGCTGTGTAAAAAAAAAGGTTATAGCTTTGAAGAAATTCTAATAATTTAATATGTAGCAACTGTTTAACAATGGGAATTTTGATTTGAACAATTGGTAAGTTGAATAAGTTTTCAAATTAAATCCAAATATGTCAAACATGGTCAAAAGGTGCTTGGCCCCGCAATCACTGCTTGCAGTTATATTTACATTTAATCTCATCAAATGTATTTAAAAATGTTTGCTTTTGCTATTGTTTAGCTGTCAAAGCAGTTTAAATATAAAATGGACTTTTAAGTTTAACAAATGCAGGCCGCTTTGTTTCATCTTTTGAAGTTTGTGGGTATTTTGGGGTTTGTAGCTGCCAAAATATTGACAAGCTTTGAACTGAAACACTACTGGAGGACAAAGCAGGGCCTCAAGCTTAACTGCTGTTAAAAACCAGAACACAGAGATAACAGAACCTTTTGAAACCACTTACATCGCTTGTGTTAACAAACCAGGTGATTTCGCCATACGACGCCAACTCTCCATTGACATAGCAGCTGATTTCACTGTTCTTCCAGCGGTTATAGATGTGCACTATGGTCACCATATACCACTGTAGAATAAAAACAAAATGAATAACTATAAACAGGAAAGAATGCCATTATTAATTTAATATCAATATCAATTTTTGAGAGCATTATTTAACCCCAAAATTTAATTGTCCCCTTGTGAGGAATCCACTTTCTAGTTACAATCTAATCTAAAAATCTGAGTTTAACACTTAGAAATAAGAAATATCTGTTTATTTAGTATATATTCGAATATATAGTTAAACTAGTGAATAAAATGAATCACAACTAATCTCATGATTTCTGATCAGTCCCTAGAAAGCAGAATGAAATAGTAATATTATCAAATTTGCTGAATGTGAATGTATTACTTTAAACATATTTCCTCATATATCTTAAGGGAAGGTTAACTTTGAAAGACCTAACAATACTTTTTTTTTTAACACCTTCATGCACCCCCCTTATGGTCCCCTGGGAGTCCTTGGACTTTAGTTTGAATACCCCAGGCCTATAGAAAAATATGGTATATCAGCAAACTTTGCTACAGTTATGAGACTGTGGTCCATTTACACCCTCTGACAACAATCTCACCTAGATCTTCTTGAATTTCCATTAAATGGAGGGGAAAGCCAATGAAGGTACTCATCCCTGAGGTAAGACCTCTCCAGAGGTAATGTAATGGACTCTAAAAATAGGCCAAATACACCCTATAAAAGGGCTTTTAGAGCGCTTGTGAGCTTCTTGATTTTAGAAATATGAATTTGAGTAAATTAGCCTTATAAGTAACACACATTTCTTGCTATAAAAAAAAGACTTTCCATTGAAAAATTATTTTTATTTCTAAATAAAATAAAACAAAATGGAATCTTTTTATAGCACAAATGACTGCATGTCTTGTTGGATCATCATTCACAGTGGTTGTCCAGCTCTAGTCTAAAGGTTGTTAGCTGAGGATGCCTGCCCATTCCATTCCATACGGGATCTGAGGATTAGCAAGAAGAAACCAAATCCCTTCCCTGCTCAGATATGACCACAGCACAAACCCTTCTTATATGTCAACTTTGCTATCCTTGTACATTGTAGAGGTACGGATAAAGACTTTGGAAAGTGTACATGATGAGTACAAACAGGTAAGCTAAAAAAAAAAAGCAAAAAAAGACTGAGGTAATTCAAACCTTCTGGGGTTTAAAGTCGTATTTCACACAGTGCTGGAAGCCTTTGGCTTTGGATTTTAGAGAGGTCACAATCAGACATCCACCCACAAAGTGTGCAGAGTAGCCCAAACTTTTGCTGGTACGGAAACTAGAGATGAGAGAGAAAACATACCTCAATTAATTCAGGATACATTTCATTTGAGGGGTGCTCACATTTAAACAGCTCTACTCTCGACAGAAAGAGTAGTAAAGTTTGCTTGGTGATATTGTATCAATACAAGGACGCCAAATATCGATATTGTCAGGGCCTGAATTTCAGCTTGTGATTACAAGTATTGAGTAATTTTACCATAAGCTCTGTGCTTATATTGCGGAAAAATTATAATTTTAAATATTTCTTTCAGACAATATCACATACAACGCATCTCACTTTCTACCGCATATGAGCTGTGTGTGAGCTGTGTGTACAGGAAGTGCATTCCAGCATATTTCTGAATGTTTAAATTAGCAATAATATTGTAACGTGGCTTAAGTATCGTGATAATAACGTATCGTGGTGCCTCTAGCGATTCCCAGCCATAGTATATATCTGTCCACAGTGATTGTAATAGAATGTAAGACAATGGCAATGTGTAGGTTATCAAAGAATACACCCATTTTTCATCATTAACCTACAAACAATATTTTATTTTATGTTCATAAAAATTGAATAAATTCTCACCCAGAGTAAAAAAAGATTTCATATTACATCAGTATCTCAGGTGTTTGAAGAACAATAGGTTACTGTTCGTAACCCTGGTTCTCTGAAACAGAGTGACTTCTCGTGCAGCAAGGGGGCAAGCATCATCCTTAGAATGGGTTCCCCCTCGACAAGAGTTAAGTGGGTTCCCCCTGGACTTTTTAGGAAGTCATGTCTAACTGTCCATTTCCTAGCATTCTCAGAACATGTTAAGAATTATAAAACTGCCTTGAATTTGTGAGATGTGGGTCTAGTGGGTCTTGTGCATAGTTTTTCACAGTTTTGTCCTTTAGAACACGTAAATCCCCCGATGTGTGTTGAAAGGGCCACTGGGCAACGCTGGGAACGGTGAAGCCTCTTTGAACATTGTGTGGGCACCCACTAGCAGGGGGGGGGGGCTGACCTCGCCAACAGAAACCCTCCTTTTTTTCACATTGTAATTGGAAGGGAAGAGCAGGCATCTGGCGGGCTGTAGACCAGAGAACACGGAGTCATCACGGACCCCTGTTGCCATGCATCAAGCCAGCCTCTTACGTTTGGTATCAGGAGTGGAATTAGGGGGTTTCTTTGTCACGGCTGTGGCAAAGGATGTTTTCCCCAAAGGAGGGGGGTTACCGTGCTGCGCTGGCAATCTGCTGCGAGGTTTGGCTCTGCCAGGACCCTGGAAATTACGACCCGGGATGGCCGTAAAGGGGGAACAAGGCGTGGTGCTGATTTCCACAGAAAACATAACTTACATGCCTCGTCCTCTTTCTTTTTGTCATTACAACCTTGCTGCATCAGGGCAACAGCAGAGCCGAAGGCAGCTTGACCAGGCTCAACTGGCGCTCCCATGATGTGCCGCTTCTCAAATAGGGAAATCCCCATAGGGTTGAGCCACAGCGCATGCTCTCTAACCACGGAAAGAGTCATAGAACGACCGTTGGCTTGAATGGGCTGGCAGGCATTGCGGAGAACTAGACAGTTGACAGTGGCAATGTCCATCCAGAGTGAAGGTGAGACCACCTGTGTTTCATGTGCTTGGCACAAGTGGGAAGGACAGGGAGAAACTGCTTTCTCAGCTGCTCGCTCACAATACTCAATAAGGACGGACTGGGGAAGAACAGCAGAGCCTGGGAAGCAACGGAAGGTGGGATGGCCTCCTTGTCCTCAGAGCCTTTAAAAAGGCCTGCGTCATCCTTATCCCTGGAGCCAGGCGGCTTATTCACAAATGAGGCTTCACCCATTAAGATGTTCTCAAGAAAGGCGGAGTCAGCTCGGTCAGCCCAACTGAAAGCTGTCGCTCCTCGGGAGTCCCCCGGGTGCACAATATCACTGTTTCACCCCATTGGAGTCTGAAGAGAACTGAAGACAAGCTGAATGTGCATTTCCAGCCTTCCCATTGCTACATATTGTGGGCCTATACTAAATATCCATTCTATTGCTCCTTGTTCCTGTACTTCTACGAAATATAGGCAATGATATTTTACAATAAGTTTAGAATAGGGCTGTCAACGTTAAAGCGTTAACTCATGTGATTGATTCAAAATCCTTAAAGGATTAGTTCACTTCAAAATGAAAATTCATAGTAGGAAAAAAAATACTCTGTAAGTCAAGGGACACATCAACTGTTTGGTTACCGAATTCTTCTTTTGTGTTCAGCAGAAGAAAGAAATTCATACAGGTTTGAAACAACTTGAGGGTGAGTAAATGATGATAGAATTTTCATTTGTAAGTGAACTATTCCTTTAAGTGTAATGGCAATTCTGAAATGAATTCCCATTTATATATATGTAAATACATAAATGATGAGAGAAGGTCTGTTATGTAGAGAACTAATTTCAGTACAGTGAAGAGTGTAAATCCTACAGTTCTTTTAACAGGGTCAATTATCTTTCGGTGAGTCAAAATAGCCCCATTTGCATAAATTACGTTTTTGACAGAAATTAATTATAAGCTGAAAATAGGACAAGGCGGCTGTAAAATGCTGCCCTTGAGAAGAGTAAACGCTAGACAGAGAGAAAGAGGAAAACACATCCTTCTCAACAAAAATAGTAGTCAGCTAATCTTCAAAATCTAAACAATAAAAATGTTTTATTTTACATCATAGGTTTGTGTGATCAGTGTTTGTGTGTGACCCACCAGTAGAGATAAGGCTTGTCCTTGTCAACGTTTATGTTATTGATGGGGTCCAGGCGCAGCCAGGTGTGGAAGGTGAAGCCATTCTGGTATGGCCACTTTGCAATAGGTGGAAGAGCAATAGCCTGATGATACATAAACAAAAACAGTTTTTCCAGTTAGGTTTCTTTATTTTTTGGTTCTATTTTAGATAAAGAAAGTAGAGCATATAGCATTTGAGCAGAATGGGGGGGAAACGACAGTGAAAGTAGTATCCTTGGAGGGAGTTGTCCAAAATGGCTGTGTATGTTTGTAGACTGAAAACTGTCATATTTGTGGGTTACAGATGAAAAATGAAGGCAAGTGCAATTTTATTTTCTCCAGAACCCAGTATACTATTTGTGCTGGAATAACATATAAACTAAACAACATCCAATCAAAGTATTTCCTGAGAGGACAGAATTTATTTGGCACCGTTTCAAGTGGACACTGACAACACAGGAAGGGTTCCATAAACATGCCCTCTAAAACATCCAAGACCCCCATGATGGTTTGATTTTTAATAAAAGCATGCAAAACTAACATACAGAGAGCCAATTGGAGCATGTCCAATGCATCTGCGTCACATACGAAAATAATACATATGCCAATAGACTCCAATCCTCTCGATGCACAGAAAAACATGTAAATATAAGCACCAAATTAGAATATTTTTCTCTAAAAACAAGACAATTTTTTTTTGTTCAGTGGTGCTCATCTCCTCTAAAGCGTAAAAGCAGATAAAATTTCCTGTGGGTGTGTTAGACATTCCTGTAAACTTCCATCTGTCACATGACTAAAGGAATGCCTGGGTAACTAAGTGAAAGACTGGGTGAAGATATCTGAAGCTTTTTGGAGACAGAGAGAAATTATATTCAGATTATTTTCTTAAAATTTTAACGCCTCCTAATTCTAAATAAAGCAACAAGACAGTGAGTGAATAAGAGGGACTCTTTTTACTGTCTTCATTTTCAATTCAATCTTGCTGACGTTGTGCCTCACAACTGGATCATTCTAGGTTTGAGCAAATCTGGAGAAATGAGCCTAAACCTTTACAGAGAAAAGATTTTGTTGCAGCTCTCATGCTATACAGTTTCACATAAACATAAGGGTGATTATTCAATTAGGGTCAGTTTTCCATACTAGAAATCATGAAAAAATTAAACTTCAATCTATGTTTCATCTATACTATTCAAAAGTTTGCGTCATTATGATAAAATATATATATATATATATTCTGCATTAAATTGACCAAAAGTGAAAGTGAAGAATGGATTAGTTAAGGCTCTATTGTTCTTTTGAACTTTCTATTCATCAAAGAATTCTGGGGGGGGGGGGGGGGGAGGGGGATCAGTTTCCACAAAAATATTAACCAGCACAACCATTTTCAACTGTGATAAGATGATGTTTTCTTTGAGCATCAAATTCAAAAAGGGATCATGTGACTGGATTTGAAATATATTAAAATATAAAACAGTTTGATCAAATAAATCAAGCCTTGGTGAGCATAAGAGACTTCTATCAAAAACATAAAAAAATGTTAAGTCAATTAATAAAAGTAAATTATTAAAATAAAACAAATTTGATCCCTTCTGAATTAAACAATTTCTGATATTTAAACTGGAAATGAGAATCTTTGTCAGGACAACAGACATTTACAAAGTAATCAAATAAATTGTAATTCCCATATATCGACTTGTGTTATAACAGTTTTGATTCACAATAAATAAAAAAGTAATAATCAATTGTTCTCAATAGAGAGATTCATTGAAACGAAATTGTACACCTAAAAAAATTACTCAATTACTCAAAATGTATCAAAGTATAATTTCCCTGATTTTAAAACATTTTGAAAGTTTATCATAGATAGAAAGTTAAAATGTCTGGGTAGTGGACTAGCCCATAACAGAGAAATTCTGGCATATATCTTTTGCATCGCCGTGGGGACCAGAAAAGTTCCACAAATTTAAAAATCACAATAAATGTTTTCACAGTGTATAGAGGTAGACGTTATGACTGAAGTCAAGGTTAAGGCCAGTGCAGTTAGACTGATGTTTGGGTCAGGGTCTCACCGCAGCACTCTTCCCTGGGAAGCTGAAAAATGAATCTGGGCCATTTCTTTGAGCCATGGACTTCAACACGGACAGTAGCTTGACAGCATGAGGTGGCTAATAGATAGAAGAAGAAAAAAAACTGCATTTAGACAACTTGAACATTCAATGAACTCACACAAGCACCCACACAAATAAATAATTGTAGCTTGACTGCAGTATTGTTCTTGCACATATACATAAAATATACTGTACTCTACAACTATACAGAATATACAGTCACAAACCATTTTGGTTAGTTACTTTGAACCTTATTAATGTTGTTTCAAATGAGCAAGATCTTCTTGATTTAGAAATACATTTTAATTTCTGAATTAACCATCCCAAAACATTTCCCAACCCGAGACGTATTTGGTCCATCAGCAACAAGTACATCAGACAACACAGTCACAATAATGGCTTCTGCCTGCAGGGTATAAGATATAGACACACATAGATGTGCCCTCTCCTTGCTCTGACGTGTTCATTTGGCGCTCTGATCAATGGCACTGCCCTAGTCGTCCAGAAACACAGCATAATGCATCAAAACCACCGGCCTTTGCACTGTCTCAACATCTTCTTCATCTACTAAAGACTGAAGACACTCTTAGAACGGAGGACGAGGACAAAATTGTGTGCAATTTATAATATTTAAAAAAAAAAGTAAATGATTGCAAAGTGTATTACACAGAGAATGTCATGACAAAAAACAATTAATGAATCAGCTTCCATTTAATTTAAGCAACAGCTCTAGTACTTTATAAAATATATCATCTATTTCTTGGAGATCACAGCATCATGACTGTGTGAGGTGGAGAGGGGAGATTTATTCAAACCATTACCCATTGGCCTTGTTCTCCTTTCAGATTACTGAAGAACAGCTTCAGTTCCTTCACTGTGATACTGTAGCTGGCCAGCACACCCAGCATGTCCACCATCAGATCTGAAATACACCACACACAAACACAAGGGGAACGCTGCGTTACAACTGAAGACATATTTATAAAAGGCTTTGGATTTAGAGACAGCTACTGAACTCAGTTTGTATTTTTGACTATTTAAGATCAGATTTGTATTTCCACAAAACCAAAATTAATTTTGTCCCCTACATCTTCCACATGAGATAAAATACGAAGAGTAATTATACTTGTATAAGAATGTTGTCCATGTTTATACAGCATCATAAGTAGCATTTAGTATTTCAAGTCAACAAGCTTGATTTATCTTTTTTTTTTCTTCTTTTTTTTTAAAGAACAGAAAACTTTTATTCAGCAGTGAAGCCATTTACAATGTTACAAATATTTTTATTTCAAATAATTTATGTTTTTTAACTTTCTACTCATCAAAGAATCCTGAAAAAATGTATCATGTTATCATGCATCAAGAATGATTTCACGTGAATCATGAAAATGCAGATTTGCCATCACAGGAATAAATTACATTTTAAAATATATTAAAATATAACAGTATTACTGCTATATAATATAATATAATATAATATAATATAATATAATATAATATAATATAATATAATATAATATAATATAATATAATATAATATAATATAATATAATATAATATAATATAATATAATTAGGGCTGTCAAACGATTAATCACGATTAATCGCATCCAAAATAAAAGTTTGTGTTTACATAATATATGTGTGTACTGTGTATAATTATTTTGTATATAAATGCACACATGTATATATTTAAGAAAAATATGTTATTTATATATAAAATGTTTATATTTATATAGAATATACATTATATATAGGCTACATTCAGTCTATATACAGTATATACATGCAAATATTTCTTAAATACACATGCATGTGTGGGTATGTATTAAAAATAATTATACACAGTACACACATATATTATGTAAACACAAACTTTTATTTTGGATGCGATTAATCGCGATTAATCGTTTGACAGCCCTAAATATAATATAATATAATATAATATAATAACAGTATTACTGCTATTTAATATAATATAATTAATGTAATATAATATAATCTAAATGTATCAAATGTACAATGAATACTGTCAAAATGCTAAGGAAAGAGTGTCCTAAAATAGGATAGGCAGAAAAGAAGGTTTCTCCACTTTTCTGCTATATAACTTCCATAACATAGTAAAACAGCAACTATTAGAGTGACACTTATCATCCCCTGCATTACACACCTGCAACTATGGTGTCAACTCGGTCTATACACTGGAGCACCAGCTGGATGAGGCCAATATCAGTGCAGGCCTGCAGGTTTCGCAAACTCTTCTTCAGCACGGCGGTGAACATACTCCACACCTCCGCCTGGCAAGTGGAGTCACATTTTTCCAGCAGCTCTACCATGCAGATGATGCTCTCCGTCTCCTGGATGATGAAGTTCATCTCCAGGTCAAACTGTCCCCCAACCAGCTGCACAGATACAATTTGAGCATAAAGTCACAAATGGAGTCAAAGCCAAAAAAATATAATATTAATCATTCATAATATGAGTATTATTCTGAGGCTAAATGCAAACAGAATACGACAGCAGAGGAAAAGCAAATTTTAACATTGCAGAAACAAGTCATCTTGAATGAATATTAAAACACAAAAAAGTTCAATTAATGGTGTAATAGCCAGAATATTTAAAGTTGCTCTCTATGTTGGCATCCTTTTAGTTAATGCTGGCTTCATTCCTGATATTAAATCCAGATAACCAAATCATAGGGCTGCAATTCATGCCAATCCCATTAGAAAACATCTGTCAGCATCTGGCTGTAAAAAGCCTCTCCACAACTAGATTACTGAGACAGGATTTCTATCTTGCCCCAACACTGGCTCACGTTTAACCCTTGACCATAAGACGGTATGACCCCTGGGCTAGAAAGTGCAACTGTAATCTCCCATTTTCATGACGGTGGCAGATGCTCTGCAGACATTACCGTAAACCTAGATTAACCTTGAAATAATGACATGAATGAGTGCCATACACTGTACATAGACAAAAAGCAAGACTGCATATTTTGAAAATGATTATTCCATTCAAACATTTTTGGGTAATATTACTAAATATTATTAAAAATGTAAATTATATCATATTATATTATATTATATTATATTATATTATCGATTACATAATTAATTATATAACATACATAATTGATCATAATTTAATTACAACCCTACAAAGAAACAGAGTTCTGGAGAAAAACAATCCAATATAATTCCAAATAAACTTACAAGAGTATTGTGACCATAGAAATGTAGACTGTTAAAAATATGAAATAAATAACAACAACAATAATCTTCCCCTTACACACAGTCATTATGCTGTGAAAAATAATAATATACATTTATTGTCTTATATTACAACTAATATATCTCTATGTGACTAAAGTATTTACATTATTTGGCAGTGCAAGATGTGGATAGTTAATGTTCTTCTTAAGGATGTGCACCACAATTTTATTCCCAGCAAAACTACAAGATATTAGGCGTTTGCCCTTAAAGACCGTTAGCTTGATTTCATAAAGGTGAGTAAAAAGCTGTCAGCTTTTGACCAAATTCAGCAGTCATTTTGAGCATCATATCGATAATGAAACCGATAATTCAATGTTTGAATTGAATTAGGACCAATGAGGCTCTCACAGCAGCAAGATTACGCTTGCAAAGAGATTTAATTGACCAATATTGAATTGACTGAACAGAGTGAACATTGTCGGTGACTAGATGGTGTTCTGATTTAATCGAAGGAGGTGCTTGGCCTAAAAAGTTAAAGAACCACTGTAGTAAAGTACTTGGATGCCTTTCTTTTACTATATTCACGTCGACTCCGTGATTAAAGGGGTGGTATAATGCCCCTTTTCACAAGATGTAAAATAAGTCTCTGTTGCCCCCAGAGTGTGTATGTGAAGTTTTAGCTCAAAATACCCCACAGATCATTTATTTAAAAATTTAAAAAGAGACAGTTTGAGCAGACTCACAAATGTGCTCTACTACAACTCTTCCTCTTCTCAACATGGACTGCGTTCCCGGGTGCGGGGTTTATTGCCCGGGAGGAATGTCGTGTAGTCCCTACCAACCGTTTGTTGTAGTCCTTAAAAAATAATTTCTTTAAAAGCAAATATCTTCCTTTGCTTTGAACTTTGAGCGTTGTAACTTAGCAGATTTTTATGCTCAAACAGCAACATTACACACTAACTAAAGTTAGAAAAGTGAAATCATAATCATCCACCCCTTTAAAAAAAAAACAGCAAAGATCAAACTAATGTAATACTAAAACAATATCAACATGTGACACAATGGCCAACAACGGTTTTAACTTAACCAATAATCAGCAGCTATATCCGTGCATTTATATATACATATACCAAGATTTTTGCTAGGGCAGAAAACTAGCTTGCAAATGAAACCAGGGCTCGTGTGATGTTCTTCACTGTTTTGTTGCTTAACGTGAGGCATTCATTTATCACAGCATGAAAAGGATCTCTGTATGAGGGTGCACGGGTCTTTCAAACAACACAAATAATATCCTTTGTGTCTGTAAATAAATCGTGAAACTCATAAAATGCAATAATTTGTCAGCACTTAATAGTTGAAGAGACATTTTTACTATTGAACAGTTCTTTACAGCACATGATAAGGAAAACAATGCAGATGTCATGAGTAATATTGCTGAGGTGGAAGCGGTCATCTCACAGTCATGAGGGTCTAAAGAGATTGCTGTCATTTGCCAGCAGACAGGCCATGACCACAATTTGATCAAGGACTGGAGGGAAGTATAAATCCACAGCCTATTGAACCTATAGAAACTGTCCCATTAAAATGACTGAAGGTGGATTAAAGGAAAGGGAGGAAAGGGGGTATCACTGTAAGTCTACAGCAGCAAAGCCTAACAAGGCAGGAGATAAAAGCCATGATCAGTCACACACACACACACACACATACATTGCAGCCTCCCCTTTGAGATTCTTTCTTCAAACCCACTGAACGATAGATCGCTCAGACTGTGCGAACGGAAAAATATGAAAATGAATGAAAAAGTCAAATAAAGAGACTCATATGATTGGCGGTCCTACATTTCGCCTTCCGTTTAGCCAGTAAAATAACCCTCCCTTCACCACCGCACGCTAATAGATCACCACCCCCGTTTACATTTGCATTCTTGGAAGAGGAGCTGATTGCGTTGTGTGGCAGGCAGCATGGAGGACGGCAACCCAAATAGATCTGCGGCCACCGTGCAAGTGATTAATGGACCTGACAACCACCCAGACTGAACGGTTGTGAATGTGACTTTGGGGTGAGGATGGTATCAGCTCACACAGAGGACGCAGTGAAAAGTGGAAGAGGCTGATGTTGATTGCTAAACTGAAAGACACTTTATCATGTAAAAGCTGTTAATGGCTTAACATTATATGGCTTTTACTGTAAAATATTGTCAAATGATCAATTGCCATATAATTTACAGTGAAAAACAGTAAAACGATATTCTTCTTACTCAAATTCATTATGTGGCTTTCTGTGTCACCATTATAATTATGGAAATTATCAATGCATTTTAAGATAAAAAGCAGATTTTGGTAGTTTGGTACATATTGGCATCATACCACTTAATGAAACATGTTGTAAAATATACAGGTGCCAATATGACATCCCATATAACTGAAACATTGCCACCATATTTTTTATGGTCAATTTATCGCAACCAAAATTGCCATATTTTTATTATTATTATTAAAATTTTGGTTGACATGATCGTTAGTTTGGTTGTTGTGCAAAATGAAATCCATTTCTCACAGTAAAGATCTCTTGAGAACTCTGCGGTTAATACATATCTAAAACCTCATCTCTTGCTGTGGTTTCTTGTCTTGTTTCTTTCTTCAGTATAAGTTTATCAAGTAACAATGAACTTTGTTCACTATGTCTTGGTTCTTATAAATATAAAAAGACAAAATATACAAAAAAAGCTCTCTAAATTTATATTATTACAGATAAAATAAAGAAGACAAGACATACCTGCAAATTCTTTAGCAGAACAGTTTGCATGGCCTATATGAGGGGTCGGAAACCTTTTTATCATGAAGTACCATTTTTAAAACCACAGCGAGTCTATAGGCAACTATGGTAACGTAAATTCATAGTTTACTAAGTTGAGAAATACTTACCAATTAGTAGTAACTGTAGTATTAATTCAGTTGTCTTCGAATACAGATTTGTCTGTTTTACTTGCGACTGCTCTGGAGCCCTGCTGGGTGGCTCACACTATGCTGCACAATATATTGTTTTAGTATTAATATCGCAATATGCGCATCTGCTGTCGTCTGTGTCATTAATGTAAATTAAACAAAAAATAAAGATAAAATCACTTTTGTATCTTTAACAAAGATTAATTATGTTTAATTTATACAGTCAAGACTATGCAGTGTTTTTTTTTTTACATAATTTGATTATTTAATTTCTGTACCTGAATACTGTTAGACTTCCCTGAAAAACATAAATCACTGTTTATTTAATTTGTATCCTTTTTCTATTGTATTTATGTGCTTGTCATTTATTTATTTTCTATGCAGATTCACTCCCTTAAAAAAATAACCCCAATCATTCTAGAATAATTCATTATTTCCAAATAGCTTTTCTAGTGACCTGGTGAAATGGTTTTCATATCGCAGAAAAACAAATCGCAATGTCAGTTTTCTCCAATATCATGCAGCCCTAGCTAACACTTTGAAGACTACTGCCCTATATCCTCCTATAGCTCTTTACAGTGATCAGAAACCACAGTGGATTTATTTTGGTTTCTTTACCATATCTGTTTTTCTCACTGTTTCTCATACAAAGACTCTGCTCTAGCTGATGATGCAGTCACCAGATCCCTCAGAGGCAAACCGAGCCCTGCGCTTCACCTCTGAGGACCCATTGAATTAATAATGGGTGAACAGCTCTTGGTCCAGGGCTCACAATAACAAGAACTTTTCTCCATGGTGAGGAGGACAACACCAGGGACAGCCACGCACACTTTACGTATAGCCCCTGGTTGCTGGCTAGCATCTTATTTTAGCACTAAACAAATGACGTTATACAGAGGAAGACTTTAGCTCACTGCTGGGGAATATAAAGAAATAGAAAAGAGCAGTATCATTTAAAATTGAAAGTCAGACTTGATCTTAAACACTTCTTGAAAGGCAAATCCTCCTCTTCGATAAACAAATTTTCTCAGCAGTCAGGCAGAATTTGCTGTTTTTAGCAAAGGGTTAGTAATGAAAAGACAACAAATGACTAAACTACTTGCACTAGCACCACCCCCAAGCCAAGAACATCATGCATTTTCATTTATCCATAAATCATTATCTGTTGCAGCCCATCAAGTAATCTGAAGAGGAAGGCAGATACACACTTCAGGTCAGCATAAATAAAACCATTACAAATAATTT